ATATAGTCACTGTTATAAATAGCGGTAAATAGCCCCTCAATAGCGAACGCTAATAACGTTAGCGGTCCCTTTGCGCGACGCTATCGTCCGCTACGCTATCGCGCAATAACGGTGACATATTGCGGAATATGTCTATTCGCAAAAGCGGCCAATAGTGTGTTATAATGGTAAATAGTGAGCGATTGCATTCGAAATTTGCTTTTTGACTGCTATTTAAAAATGGTTTGAGGCTTATTTTTTTAAAAATTAAACTCAACCCTTGATCATTTCATTCCACCGTCTCCTATGGTTTTCAGCATATTCCCGCCACCTCTCATAGCCTCTGGCACCTACCTTGATACTTCCTCTCACCTCCTTCACCGTGAGCTCCTCTTAGGACAGTCCTGTCACCGCTAAGCTCTTCTTCTCGAAGATAACTTTTTGACTCCTCCAATCATCTTCGAAATTTGCTTTTTGACTGCTATTTAAAAATGGTTTGAGGCTTATTTTTTTAAAAATTAAACTCAACCCTTGATCATTTCATTCCACCGTCTCCTGTGATTTTCAGCATATTTCCGCCACCTCTCATAGCCTCTGGCACCTACCTTGATACTTCCTCTCACCTCCTTCACCGTGAGCTCCTCTTAGGACAGTCCTGTCACCGTTAAGCTCTTCTTCTTGAAGATAACTTTTTGACTCATCCAATCATCTTCGGTATTATGTGATGGTTACATGTCTATTTCATGTTTAGGATCTCTTTAAATCATCCAATATATACTTTTAGATTTCTTAGATTTTTCTTTAATTTTTCTTTTTTAGTATTTATACATATTTGAATAGACCGCTATTTGACTTTCCGTTTTTTACCGCTATTTTGCCACAATAGCTCGAAATAGCCTTAGCGATGCCTCACCGCTACGGGACGCTATCCGCTATCGATAACCTTGCATATAGTAGATTCAGATATAGGTAAAACAATGCTTCATTGTTTCTAATACATACTTTATATGTTTTCATGTGATTTGTTCTGTTGCAAATAAAAAAAAATTCTTATTCTCCATTCTTAGAAACATCTAATTCTGGCTCCATTTATATTTGTCCATTTTAGTGTTTGATGTTTTAACATTTGATGCAGAAGGATGAAGAGGAAATTGTCGAGAAGGTCATTGAACAAGAATATCCTGTTGTCAAGAACAATTCTGATGTAACAACTGCATCTAACCGTAAATCTAAGAAAAAGAAGAAAAAGAACAAAGATTGCTTGACATCTACAAAAGTCAAAGCTGAAAAGTCAATCGATTCAGTTCTAGCTGATCTATCTTTTAACACAAAGTCCTCTCAGGAAGTTGAGATTGAGAATAGTAGAGCTCAGAAAAATGAGGTTCAGCCTGGGAAAAAGAAACAAGGTGTTAAATCTGTCCTACTGGTGGACCCTAAACACTTAAAGGCTGAAAATGAGCTCCGAAAAATATTTGGTTCCAAGGTCGTCAATTCATTTGAAAATAATCACAGTGCTGGGACCTCAAGGCAGATGCATGGTGGAAGACGCATAGGCCACAACCCGAGGAAGACAATTCTTGTATCTCCAGCAAATTTTTGGCCTCGTTGGGACGGCTCCATCTCCATGGAAATGCTGGAGATAAAAAATGGATTACATTATTTTAGGTATGTATTCTATTGACAAGGGTCTAGATCGGAGTAATTGAAATTTGTTGATATATTTTCATCTTCCTTTCTGCTCTACGATCTAATGGAGACCATACATCAAAGATACCAAACTCGTTAACTTGAGCCAAGTAGTGGAATGAAGTTTGCAATCCATGTATCTGCATGTGCTATGTAGCAGAATTATATAATGCAAGCTGGTCACTTTGCGTTTTTCTCGATCCTCTCCTTCCCTGCATAGCCTCTTGTGTGTTATGTTAATAGAAATGAGATTAATGTGTGCCAAAACTAAATTAGGGATCAACTGCTTAATATGACGGGGACCATCAAGCACAAAACTTCGAAGTGAGCGGTGCCCATATCTGTCATGTATGGATGAGGGCAGTTGCATAACTCTTCTTGATGCATAATAAACACTCTGGAGCCTTCATATTGTAGTTGCATCAGCTTCTGCGAAATTCTAAAGATCCTAAGTCGAACACCATATATATGAGCTATAATACTGCGTAGCTTATGGTGTTCGCTACTTCCTACTGTGAACCTTCTAATCTTTTACGTCTATCTATGTATTTGCCTAACTTACAGGGTCTTGAGATTAAATATATTAGGTAATTCTATTTGTTTCTTCCTTTGATATTAGCATATGTGATCTCCATTCATACATAACATAATGGCATTGCCGACATGTATTGTTATATACATAATCTTCCTCAAATTCTTCTTTGCTTCGTATCCTACATAAGTTCATCTGTTTTAGTTATCTTGACGAAATTAAATATGTAGAAGTAATTATGGGATGCTATCCCCTTTATCAACTCTTATCATAACAGCTTTTATTTTGGGTACATGGTAGTCTGTTTATTTTCCCATCAAAAGAATGAAAGATATGTGTTCTACTCTTGTATTTTTCTAGGGACATAAAGGGATTGGTAATTTCAATGCTATCTATCACTTGATACAATTACGCGCTGTTTCACCTTGTTTCTTCACATCCTCTAAGCATTGTTTACTTATTGTAGTCATACCATGCCGCCAACTTATTCTATTTTCCTTGGATCTTCACTTGTTTTGTATGCCTGTGATCAACTTAATTGAAACCAATCAAAAGTTTACATGTTTTACTTGGACATGCGAGTCATAACCTGGTACCTAAACATGTTCACATTTGATACTTTCTGAAGCACCTGAGTGCACTCTCAGTGTATGTGGAGAGTGACTAATAGAGGCAATCCCTTTACAGTTCAGTAAGTTGATTTAGACCTTTGCCAGCTGCTATCTGCATGTAAAAGTAATTGTGGAAACATCTTGATTTGATTTAATTTGATGATGAGTTTCTCAAGGTGTTCGAGTGCTTGACACGTCAAAGAAATGGAAATTCAGAAGTATCTGGATAACATCAAGAATTATGTGTGTTTCCGTAGTATTATCCTCAGCTCCGCGAGTCTTTGATCTTTCCCTCCAGTTTGTGGGCTTTTTTGCTCTGCTCTTTCTCGGCATTTAGCGTCCAAATTAACATCAGGCTCTTGTGTTAATGTACCTGTAGCTTTATAGCTGCCTTTAGATCTGAAGTAAATATTAGGTTCACGTTATTGGAATTGACTAACTAAATGTGGAAGGTTGTGCCTTTAGATCTAAAGTAAATATTGTCTTCAAATTTCTTGTAACCTGCTTGTAATATCCTTTTAGTTTGCAAATTAACCAAGCTCCCTTTCCTCCTCTCTTATTACGGCTACTGCATCCTCTTATCTCATCTCCTTCTCCTCTCTTTTCCTCTTTCTTACATGATCAACTGGTTGTAGCTTGTTAGAATGAGTATTGGACCTATGTCCCTCTCTCCCTCTCTTTTTGTTCTTATTTGAGCAGTTAGCTTTAGCTTCTGAAAGTGAGGATCAAACCTATATGACCGAACAAACGTACTATAGCAGCATCAAGTTTCATGACTGCTTCACTAGAAGTTGATAGCCTCATTTCTTCTTCGGAAATTGTTAGTGTTTCCGTAAATCAGGGTTCTTGAAGCTTTGTACAAGACTGTGTACTGTGTAGTGACGGATGAACTTTAACAGGCTTGTTTTATATCATTTGATCTAAAAATTATACCTACTACCCGAAGTAGTATAAGTTTATAAATGCAGTGACATGCCACCTCTTTATCATTTCCATCAATTTCTTTGGATTTTAGCATTATATTTGCAGCTTCACTATATTGTTTGCTATAAACCAGATAAACTTCTCTATTTCTTCCTATATTCTTTGAAATTTGCGCAACATTTTTGTTACAAAAAGATATCAACTCACATACAAAGAAAACATGTAAAACATATTCATCTTAATTAAACAATCATTATCAATGCAGAACTTGTAGTGCGACATACAGTTATCATCATCTGACCTGATATTCACTTTCATATGCTAGCCAAGGGCATTCAATTTTCCACATCTTGATGTTTTTGACGTAGTAAAGCCATTTCACTCTCCTTTTTACACGTATGACATGGGTTTTTAGCAATTTCTTTTGTCTCTTAACCCAAAGTCTTTATATGCATTGGTAATAACATTAGGTGCTAGCTTTGGGTGGAAGCATCTTTGCTGTTTGATTCCATTTTGATGTGCTGATATTGGTGGGTTCTGTTGGATATCAGTAATGTTCCTTTATAATGGTGTTCTGTACCCACTTGCACCTTTGGTTACAGAATTATCATCATTATATATGTTTCTGACTTTCAAATATTTTGATACGGGTATTATGATAATCTTATTGCAAATACATCCCTGACTTGTTACTAAACCCATCTTTTTTAGGTATGTGCATTCAGCATCTTACCAGCATGCACAACAAGCATTTGAAGCTGCAAAAGCCATCAATGATATTAATGCGATTGCAAGCATCTTAGCACATTATCCTTACCATATTGAATCCCTGCTGACTTTTGCTGAGTTATACAAGTATTCAGGAGAACATCAGGCATCTGCAGATGCCATTTCAAAGTGTTTATTTGCACTGGAGTGTGCATGGCATCCAATGTTCACCCCCTTGCAGGGAAATTGTCAATTGAAGTACACTCATGAAACAAACAAGCCTCTATTCACTGCGCTTTTCAGCCATATGAAGAATATGGATAGACGTGGCTGCCATCGTTCAGCTTTAGAGGTCTGCAAGCTTTTGCTGTCTTTAGATTTGGATGATCCAAAGGGAGCACTATTCTGTATCGACTATTTCTCTCTCAGGGCACAAGAATACAAATGGTTAGAACAGTTTACTGAGGAGTATGGTAGTGATACCTCCCTGTGGTTGTTTCCAAATTTCTCATATTCTCTTGCTGTTGCTCGTTTCCATCTTGAACGTGAGACTGCTATGGAGATTGAGAAATCCTCGTCAATTGATCTTATGAAGCAGGCATTAATGCTTCATCCTTCAGTGCTTCAGAAATTAGTTGAGAAGGCGCCCCTGAAGGATTCAGTTTGGACCCAAATACTGAAGAACTCACTGTTTGGGTCTGCCAAAGCTGGAGGCCCTACGCTAGAGCACCTTATTAATATGTATGTGCAGCGAAATTATCTTATATGGAGATTTCCGGAGCTGCAGGGTCTACTGAAAGATGCAGCACTGCTAGTGATTGAGTCATCGAAACAAAACAGCAGTGAAGCCAAGGATTGGGCATGTGTTAGGAAAGAAGCGTTCTCATCAGAGAAAAACGAGTAAGTTTTGCTTAGTTTTGCTTGTCGTAAAGCCTGCCCCTGGAAATGTTAATATTCCATTTTAATTCTTTTTATGAATCAGCAATGCTGACATCAAATTCCTTCTGAGTAACATGGCAATTTCTACATGCATGGATTTGGCAGCCTCCTTAAGTTTAAATATCAAAATACTAGAGACCTAAGATATAACTAAATATGGCAAATTCCTTTTGCAGACTAATTTTTTACTGCAGTAATGCATGCAAAATTTATCATGGGCATTAAGTAAGGTGAATAGGAAAAAGAAAGAAAAGAAACCTGCACAGAGACCTTAATCTACAATGTGCTATGTAAAAAATCAAATGAAGAATCCAAGTATATTTTTGGTTACACATCCAGTGTTTCTACTATTGTCGGTCTCCACTGTGCAGATTGCTATTCTAATTCAGTTCATTAGTTTTGAACTAGCCTTAATCTTGTTATGTAATAATATATTGTCAATAATTCATTTGTAATGTAAATAAGATAAATTTCACAAATACCATGAACTTTCCGGGGTTTTGCACAAAACTATCGTTAACTTTTTATTAGAGATGACTACCATGCACTTTCAAAAGTGCAGAAAGATGCAAACTATTGGAAATTGTTCATAATGGCATTGACATCTTGGATAAAACATCAAAATTACCCCTATTAATATCTGTGAAGAGAAAGAGGGGAAGAGGGTAAAATAGAAGTATGTAAAGCGCGTAAGGGCAAATTGTCCAAACTCCCGTGCGAAATACTTACCCTCACTAGCGTCAAACATGGTTGTCTAGTCAACACTTCCATTGCGAAATACTTATCCTCACTAGTGTCAAACATGGTTGTCTAGTCAACACTTTCATTGTACTTCTCTCTTATACAAAAAAGTTTATGGTAGTGTTCATGGCTCCTTTTTTTGTGAAAATTTCCCCTGTAAATAGCATACCTACGCTATTGTTTCCCTTTCATCAGATTTCTGGTTCATGTATCTGTAGCCCTTGCTCCTTATGATAGTAACATTTCCTCCCTTTTGCAGGTATTCACACCTGCTTGTCTCCGATTTTTCCGATACAACACCATCACTTCCTCCTGAGGAGCTACAACAGTTTATGGCCGGTCCACAAATGGTGCATGAGATGCACGCTGACGATATAGGAGCTGCCGCTGGAAGAGTGCCTCCCCCTCGTGAGGTTGAGGGGCGAAATGCAGCCATAGTTTTCTTGGAATCTCTTCTTCCTTGGATCCACTATGGAGACGACAGAGATGAGCATGATCAAAACGTTAACTAGAGAAGGAGAGATGACAGCGATTCTTTTGTGTGGTGGTTCATTTCTTGGCCCATTGAAGTTTTTTTGTTGGTTTTTTTTAATCTGCACATCATGTTTTCTCATTTGATAATCCTCAAACGAGTTTAGGCAGGCCATGTATATTATTGGAGCTTTTGAGAAACGTTACTTGAAGGACATTTATTTTGGTTAGATACAGTTTATTTGAATCCGTCTCTTGTGGTTGTTTTGTGAGTCAGGCTAAAATTATTTGATGGGGGTGGGCATAATTTGGTGTCAGGAATATTAGCTTCAGTTTCGACAGGTACTAGATAGTATTTGAGGGAGTGGATAGCAATCTTAATGATTTGATGGACTAGTTTCAAAATATTAAAGAATTGTTATTAGGTTACAACTAAAAACACTCAACTAACTTTTTCCAGTTACTAGATCAACCACAACAACAGCATTTATTCAGGTAATTCCCATTACTGTCATCATTTGTAAGGGCAAGGAACCGGAACTGCACCTTGGCCACTAGAAGCAGCTCTAAATCTTTATATGCTCAAATGAAGTCTTCACTGAAATAAATTATGATAACTAATTACAACTATAAAGACCATTACACACTGCAATATATTCAAGTTGACAATTTTACCTTGCAATGTTCATGACAAATTAATAAGAATATTTGTAGCTTGTTATGTTCATTGCGCCCGGCATAATATTATTTAGGTGAATAGACTCCCCTCAGTGAACTTTCTTTTTACCATCTAAGTGTAAAACAATCGGCATTAGAGGGTCTATCTGCACCAATAAAATTGGAAAGGGGTCTACCCGCCTCAATAAAAACCTCTTATTAAGGTTTTTAAGAGTAAAATTCAATTAGGAGTCTATCTGCTTATAGTTAGAACTCCATGTATCTATCTGCGATTTAACTCTTTTCTCCTTCTCTTTAATTTCCTTTCTCTTTTTTACTTTTCATGAATTTTGCCTCTGGATCTATTTTATTAAATTTTAAGATGGGGCAAAGGGAACTATATCCACTGAATTGGCAACATCTCAGATAAAATTATAACATTCTCTTCTACATTGATTTTCTAAAATTGGATAATATAAGAAAAAGAGTAGGGAAACGACTCCTAAATTTGCAAAAGTTTTTTCTCAAAAAATATTAAACCCAATATTAAAGAACATTAATAAATTAGCAAATCGATTATTATGGTTTGAAAATCCTCCAATTTGACCTTGTTAATTATAGTCTAACAAGTTGTATATAACTGCTTTTTCTTTCTTGCAATTAAACAAAAAAAAAAAAACAAACATTAAAAGAGAGAAAAATGAGAAAGAGAAAACAGGAAAAAATTATCTCATCAACAGAGGGATCAAGAGGAGATCCGTATCTTACTGTAAATGTCATCAGTGAATTAGAAAATGGCCTGCTAAAGCACTCGTCAGATGGGGCTACTACAGAAGTCAAGGTACTATTAAATTTGAAGTTAAACACATAAGAGGAAATATTATGTGAAAATGACACATTGCATGAGGTAATATATTTATATTAGGTGAAATATCGTAAAACCCCCCTTAACTTTGGAAGATTATCAAAAGACCCTCCTTAACTTTAAAAATATCAGAAAACCCCCTTAAGTTTTGGGGTTATAAGAAAACCCCCTTAACTTTGAGATTTTATCAAAAAGTCACCCTAATTTAGGGGATTTTCTGATAAAATCTAAAAGTTAAAAGGTATTTTCTGATAAAATATAAAACTTAAAGGAGCTTTTGTGATAATCCCGATACTTAAAGGAGATTTTTATGAAAGTTAAGAAGGGTTTGCCGATAATTGTCCAAAGTTAAGGGTTTTTTTTCCTTCTTCTATATTTATCCTTTATATAATTACTTTAGTAATAATGCAATATCTTGATTTTATTTTTATCTGCTTTTGATTTGTACTGAAGGAACATACAAAGGCAAGGGAGAGGGCGGCCCCCATCTCATCTGAGGAGGTTTCGGAGGAGATCGACAATCTCATCATTTGACACGAATGAAAAAAAAAAAAAAAAATCAAGGTAGTGCAATATATGGTTGCTTAGATTTTACATTCATTAAACAGATAAAAGAGGAAATATATATTATGGGTAAAATGACATAGTATGGTTATGAATATCACGTATCGGGTGCTAATTAATAATATTACCCCATTACCACAGGGGATTTTAGAAATTATGAAAGATGATTATATGAGAGTTATATTTTGCAAGAGTTTGTGTAGGGTATATAAATATAACGTGGAAGGAAACTTATTTATCTATATCTATATGAGAGATCATTCTTTAATTAATTTGTAACGTTTGATAAGTAATAGCTCCTTTTCTGACTGAGAAAATCTTAGTACTATAGCGTTGAGAGAGTATTGTACTTGTATTGCTCTATTTTCGCATTAAATAGAAATAAATATTCACTGCAAAAAAAAAAAAATACTGCTATGGCTTGGCCTCACATGACCAAGCAGGGAAATGTCTATATAAAAAAGGAGGGTCAAGAAAGAGAGATTAAGGAGAATGATTAACATAGTTAGCCCTTTCGATAATTTGAAGGACTAAATTATTAACTCGTTATATAAGTTTTATTTTAGCCATTGTAATCATTTTTAGTGTTTGAGAATAACTATGGTTTTGACTCTATTCTTTATAATTAGAGGGGTTAACTCTCAATCCTTCTAAAAAGGAGTACTAATGAACCATTCATTTTGAGTGGTTTAACTCATGTTAATCTCTATAGAGGGATTAGCTTAACACTTCTGTTTTTTTTATATTTGACAAATTATATAGGATTAGGATTAACTAACTTCAACCCTTATATAGCTCCTATATATTTCAGCTGCCAATAATGAAACAGAAGAAGAGTTCTGATGAAGCACATGAAGGAATTGTGTCCTTTAATCGAATGTGCAATTACTAATTATGGAATGGGACATTTAATGGAGATTTACAATCCGGTTATTTTAGGTAGTCATAGTGCTTTGCTAGAAGCCAACTATGATTTATGGACTTTATGTTATAAAGTTCATTGCTATTATAATTGGGTCCTACGAGGTCACACCCTAAGAGTTTATGGACTGGATATATTGGGAGAATTATTATATAAAGTATATAATATAAAGTTATATAAGATATAACTTCAAAATAGAGTTTATTAATAATAAGGAGTTATTGTTAAATAAAGGATAAATTTATTTATAAATGTTATAAAAGATAATATTTAATTATAGAATTAAATATGACTTTAATTAGTGGATTATATTTAATTATAGAATTAAATATGACTTTAATTTGTAGATTATAAATAGGAGTGGTTTTTCTTTAGAAAATCCAATCCAATTCCACTTTCTCTATATACGTGAAAGTGTTACTACTTTCTCTCCCAAAAAACCTTTCATCTTCAACCTAGCAGTTGATTTCTAAGGATCCAGATCTTTGCTCGGGTGGATCAACTAGAGGAGTTTTCAAGTGAGACTCTTAATCTCTCCATTAGAGAAGGCTTTGAACACGCATCAAGAGGTAATCGTTTTTCCTTTTTCTTAATCCAATTGATTTATGCAATAGATCCTTCGTTTAGATGTTAGGAAAACGTTTCCTGCAATTCCGCTTAGAGCATCTAAAGTTTCTACAGCATAACTCCATCTCATTGAGTAGTCAAAGAAGCTCGTCATCCTCCCACAAGGTAATTGGACCAATAGACTCCTTCACCGCTCGTTCTCCCAAGGAGATTACCCAAATAGTAGCAAAGGAAAAACAACCAACGAAGGACGCCAAGCTTAAAAAGAAGAAAAGTGAGGATGTATTATAATACATCTCTAAATAGTTCATAGTTAATATGATTAATTATTTATGTTTTTTATTTGGACAAATTGCATGTCTTACTTGAATAACATTTCATATATGATTATTGCATGTATGTTTAATATTATGATATTATTGCATGTGGTGACTAGTATGGCCCAAATTAGGATAGATAAATACGATCTGCACATTGTTATGTTCTTCTTGTACACGATCTGTGTATCGTTATGTATTTTTGTAATTTAAATTTATGCAAGAAAGTTTATTCAAATTTATGTAACACAAGAAGAAGAAGATCCTATGATGACTAAAGGATGGTGATCCAGAAAGTCAAGACTATTGAAGATTAGATCTCTTTAGGGGCCATACTAGGATCCAAATTTTTATTATTGCATTATGTGAATGTTTTTATTATCTCTTGCCTTGCATGAATGCTTGTTTATTTATATTATTTAGTTCGCTTATATATAGACAACCATTACATGCTAAAAGTCCCTTAAAAGAATATTGAGATTATGCCTTTCCATGTCATAACCATGAGGCCCTTGGAATTCGTTGGATAGTTTTCGCCCTAGCGAGGTGTCCTTCCTTGACCTTGGGATAGTGCGGGTATGTCTAATAGGGGCATGCTGCATTGATATGGTTGTAGACGGTAAAAAATACCTCTATGGGTCTACAGGGAATTTGTCTACAGTGAGTTCGCACGCCCAGTTCTCTGACACGGACCTAAACCGCGTAGACGTCGACTGTGCTCAAATCCAGGTTCGCCTAACGGTCGACTCGCCAAGATTTGGGGAAGTGCCTTAGTACGCTCAAGTTTCATCTAAGATAGGATCTTGGAATTATTTTACTCACAAGGGACAATATTATATTGAGTAGAATATGCAATAACTTGTTATTTAGAACATGTCTAAAATAAAGTTTTTTGCATTTCAAGCATAATTTATCTGCATATTTCAATTTCTGTTTTGTAGTTACTATGTCTACTGAACACCTCAAATTCACGCTCCGCTCAATTGTTGAGAAAAACAAGTTGAACGACACCAATTTTCTTGATTGGGAACGAAATCTGAGAATTATTCTCAGGTCTGAGAACCAAGAGGATGTCCTAGAAACACCCATCCCAGAGCTGATTGTCAACTCATCTGATGAGGATAAGGCACGTCACAAAACAATATGCGAGAGGTCAAGGAATGTTACTTGCCTCATGCTGGCTGCCATGGAACCTGGTCTTCAACAGAGGTTTGAGGATCAGGATGCCTATACAATTATGAGAAATCTTAGAGATCTCTTTAAGGAGCAGGCCAGGATTGAGAGGTATGAGACCCTTAAGTCCATATTGCAAAGCAAGCTCGAAAAGGGGAAACCAGTGGGGCCACATGTTTTCCACATGATAGGCCTGTTTGACAGGATGGCTCGACTTGGGAACCCCTACAATGTTGAGATGGCTACAGATATGATCCTGTATTCCTTACATGATGGATTTGCTAATTTCAGGCAGATGTATCACATGGGAGCCATGGGTAAGACCCTCAATGAGCTGCATGCTATGCTCAAAACTGCTGAGCAAAATGTCTTGGTTGAACCTAGGAAGGATGTTCTTATGGTCAACAAAGGGAAAGGGTTTAAGAAAGGGCCACAGAAGAAGCAACAGTCTCAAGGGAAGGGCAAGACAGTTGTTCCACCTAAGGGAAACACACCTAAAATAAAGGTGGCTGCTGAGCATGACTGCTTCTACTGCAAGGCTAAGGGGCACTGGAAGAGAAACTGCCCCAAATATCTGGAAGATAAGAAGAGGGGTGCCTCTGCTTCAGGTATTTGCGTCATTGAAATCTTATCAACTAACTCCAATTCTTGGGTATTAGATACCGGTTGTGGTTCTCACATTATTTCGAATGTGCAGGGACTACGAAATAGGAGACGGTTGCAGAAGGGTGAGATAGATCTTCGCGTTGGAAATGGAGCAAGAGTTGCTGCACTTGCCATTGGAGATTATAGTCTACCGCTACCTTCTGGCTTGGTTTTAGAACTTTATAATTGTTATTTTGTTCCTTCTATTACTAAGAATTTGATTTCAATTCCAGTTTTGAACCTTGAGGGTTATAATTTTGTCATTAAGGATTGTTTTTCTATTTTTAAGAATGACATCTTTTATGCTCAAGCCCATATGAATAATAGTGTATTATACATATTGGATCTCAAATCTGAAGTTTATAACGTTGATACAAAACGGCAAAAGTCGAATGACATAAGTGAAGCCAATCTATGGCATTGTCGCCTAGGCCACATTAGCATTAAACGCATGAAGGAACTCCAAACAGTTGGTAGCCTAAAGTCATTTGATTTAGAATCATTTGAAACATGTGAATCATGTCTAATGGGTAAGATGACAAGGTCACCTTTCAAAGGTACAAGTGAAAGGACTACTGAGTTCTTAGCTCTCATACATACCGATGTGTGTGGACCTATGAGCATAGAAGCTAGGAGAGGCTATCGATACTTCATTACATTTACTGATGATTTTAGTAGATACGGGTATATCTACCTAATGAAACATAAATCTGAGTCTTTTGAAAAGTTCAAAGAATTTCAGCATGAAGTTGAGACACAAACAGGCAAGAAGATAAAGGCACTTCGATCAGATCGAGGGGGTGAATATCTGAGCCAAGAATTTGACCATCATTTGAGGAGTTGTGGTATTCTAACACAACTGACTCCACCAGGTACACCACAACTGAATGGTGTGTCATAGAGGAGAAACAGGACATTGTTAGACATGGTCCGCTCAATGATGAGTTTTGCTCATCTTCCTACATCCTTTTGGGGTTATGCCCTCACTACTGTTGTGTTCACACTAAACAGGACTCCGTCCCGATCAGTTGACAGGACACCACATGAGATATGGTTTGGGTAGCCTCCCAGCTTGTCATTTCTGAAGGTCTGGGGATGCGAGGCTTATGTAAAGCGTTTACTATCTGATAAGCTCGCACCCAAATCAGACAAATGCTTCTTTATAGGTTACCCTAAGGAAACGAGGGGTTATTATTTCTACAATCCCGTTGAGAACAAAGTGTTTGTTGCTCGGGATAGTGTCTTTTTGGAAAAGGATTTCTTTTCCAAGAAGTCAAGTGGGAGAAATGTTCAGCTTGATGAGATTCAACCTGAGCAACAAACCCTACAGCATGAGGACATAGAAGATGTCACAGAGGAACTTGATTTTGGAGGCGTACCTTCTCAAAGGGAAACCACCCATATTCAAGATGCAATTCCTCAGGTAGATGAAGCACCCGAGGTCCCACATACTGATGTGGTCAATCCTCCTGCTAAAGTCTCTCCAGCTGTTGGACCACTTTGGAGATCAAACAGGCCAAGGCGGCAACCTAGACGATATGAGGATTTCGTCTTGAATGCTAGCATTGACGTTCTACTTTTAGAGAATGATGAGCCTGCTACCTATAAACAAGCAATGGCGAACCCCGACTCCGAAAAATGGCTTGAAGCCATGAAATCCGAAATGGACTCCATGTCTGAGAATCAAGTATGGGACTTGATAGATTTTCCTGATGGGGTAAAACCCATTGGATGTAAATGGGTCTTCAAGATCAAGACAGACAAGGATGGAAATGTTTCTGTCTACAAGGCAAGATTAGTTGCCAAAGGATTTAGACAAGTTCATGGTATTGACTATGATGAAACGTTCTCACCGGTTGTTATGATCAGGTCCATTAGGATAATCCTAGCAATTGCCGCTTATTATGATTATGAGATATGGCAAATGGATGTCAAGACCGCTTTTCTAAATGGATATTTAGAAGAAAATGTATACATGATGCAACCAGAAGGTTTTGAGGATCCAGAGAATCCTAGGAAAGTATGCAAGCTTAAGAAGTCTATCTATGGACTTAAGCAAGCATCCAGGAGTTGGAATCTTCGTTTTGATGAAGTGGTCAAAAAGTTTGATTTCATCAGATGCGAAGAAGAGCCATGTGTTTACAAGAAGTTTAGTGGGAGCAAAGTGGCCTTCCTGGTTCTATATGTGGATGACATATTACTCATTGGAAATGATATTCCTATGCTGGAGACAGTCAAGGAATGGCTTAAGAAGTATTTCTCAATGAAGGATCTAGGAGAGGCAGAGTACATATTAGGCATTAAGATCTATAGAGATAGGTCTAAGAGGCTTATTGGTCTAAGTCAAGGAACTTATATAGATAAGGTCCTTGCTAGATTTAATATGGTGAATTCTAAGAAAGGATTCCTTCCTATGCAACATGGCTTACGTCTCAGTAAAAGCCAGTGTCCTAAAACACCAGGTGAAATTGAGAAAATGAGTAGGATTCCCTATGCCTCAGCCATAGGATCCATCATGTATGCTATGACTTGTACTCGCCCAGATGTTGCGCACGCTTTGAGTATGTGCAGCAGATACCAATCAAACCCTGGAGAGGCACATTGGTGTGCAACCAAGAACATTCTAAAGTACTTGAGAAGAACTAAGGATAATGCCTTAGTGTATGGAGGTGATGACGAGCTGATCGTCAAGGGCTACACTGATGCGAGTTTCCAGACAGATAAAGATGATTTTGAATCTCAGTCTGGATATGTCTTCATTCTGAATGGAGGAGCCGTCAGTTGGAAGAGCTCAAAGCAAGGGACAATAGCAGATTCTACAACGGAAGCAGAGTACATTGCTGCTAGTGAAGCAGCTAAGGAGGCGGTATGGATTAGACAGGTAATAGCTGAGCTCGGTGTTGTTCCTAGCACTTCTAGAGCAATTGACGTCTATTGTGACAACAATGGCGCCATTGCTCAAGCCAAGGAACCTAGCTCTAGCTCCAGATCTAGACACGTCCAACGAAAGTACCACTTGATCAGACACTATGTTGATAGAGGAGACGTGAGGATGTGCAAAGTGCACACTGACGACAACATTGCAGATCCTTTGACCAAGCCCTTGCCTAGGCCCAAGCATGATAGTCACACTCGGGCCAAAGGGCTCAGACACATTGGAGAAATATTTTGAAATATTTTCGTTATTACAGACATTTATGCTTGATTTATATATATGAGTATCATATTATTATTTAATCACTGCTTGGGATTAGATAAAGTATCCGAATAATTTAATAATTATCAAATGGGCTCATCAAAACTGTTTTGGTAAATGAAACCCCATTAAGTGAACTGATATTATAAAATTATTAGTTGTTCATGGTCTGAGTCATTAACTAGGATACAAATGACTTAATTCAAGACCATATTGTGAGATTGATTGATAACACCGGGTTTCATGTGTTATAGGGACATGGAGATGTCTAATCGATTACATAGGTATGTATGGTGATACATATCAGACAGACCTATCATAGAACTCTTCGGGTTCTTTCTGCAGAGTTCTAGGATTATTCATGATTAGTGAGTTCCTTAGACATGAGTATGATATAGTCATCATTTGACTGCTGGTATGTCTTTGACGCTGCTAAACGCTGACCGTAACAGGCAGTTATAAAAGTAGTGATTGGGATTGCCAAAAGTTGAGTGGGAGATATAGTCTTACAAGATTGAATATGTCCTCCTATTCCATGTATACCATGATACATTTGGAAAGGAACGGTGTCTCGGCCACTTGAAGAGTGAGAACTGTGAAAAACGCATGGCCATGCTCAGATGGATTATTAGTAATCATTTGTACTGACAGTTCGATCTCAAGAGTTCAAGAAACATATTTGGCGATAAAGATGAGTTTCATCATATAGTCAAATAAGACATTAAGTGACAAAGGAATTTTAACATTGCACACTTGTTTCAAGGACAAGTGGGAGATTGAAGGAATTGTGTCCTTTAATCGAATGTGCAATTACTAATTATGGATGGGACATTTAATGGAGATTTACAATCCGGTTATTTTAGGTAGTCATAGTGCTTTGCTAGAAGCCAACTATGATTTATGGACTTTATGTTATAAAGTTCATTGCTATTATAATTGGGTCCTACGAGGTCACACCCTAAGAGTTTATGGACTGGATATATTGGGAGAATTATTATATAAAGTATATAATATAAAGTTATATAAGATATAACTTCAAAATAGAGTTTATTAATAATAAGGAGTTATTGTTAAATAAAGGATAAATTTATTTATAAATGTTATAAAAGATAATATTTAATTATAGAATTAAATATGACTTTAATTAGTGGATTATATTTAATTATAGAATTAAATATGACTTTAATTTGTGGATTATAAATAAGAGTGGTTTTTCTTTTAGAAAATCCAATCCAATTCCACTTTCTCTATATACGTGAAAGTGTTACTACTTTCTCTCCCAAAAACCTTTCATCTTCAACCTAGCAGTTGATTTCTAAGGATCCAGATCTTTGCTCGGGTGGATCAACTAGAGGAGTTTTCAAGTGAGACTCTTAATCTCTCTATTAGAGGAGGCTTTGAACACGCATCAAGAGGTAATCGTTTTTTCCTTTTTCTTAATCCAATTGATTTATGCAATAGATCCTTCGTTTAGATGTTAGGAAAACGTTTCCTGCAATTCCGCTTAGAGCATCTAAAGTTCCTACATCACAACCACACGATCAACCATATCGTCTAAGAGATCAGCTCTGAACACTTCAAAACCCAACACTATTTAACCCACATTCACTTCTTGTATGGCTCATAAATAATGTTCTTAAGAAGTAATGGTTCGTCAATTCATGAGTTCAACCAAACGAGTAGAATTAGCCACGAACGCCACTTCTTAATTTGGCCTTAGGACCCGTTTGGACGTAATTTTTGAAGGGTGAAAGCCTGCAAAAGTTCTGAAAAAATCAGAACTTTCGTAGGCTTTCTTGCAAAATAGCCCCAAATAAAGACAATTTTACAAGAAAGCCCACCAAAGTTCTGATTTTTTTCAGAACTTTGACAGGTTTCCCCCTCCAAATAATGCAAACAAACAGGCCCTTACTTGCTTAGGCCCGTCATCTCAAAGAATTTAAAAAGTACGTAGCAGGCGTACCGGGAACGTCAACCACTAACAAGTCAATAAGAATACACATCGCGGGCT